AAGAAAAAATAAATAAAAAAAAAAAAAAAAAAAAAAAAATATATATATATATATATATATATATATATATATATATAAAGATATCATGAAGAACATAATAAATGCATGATTTTATTAAGGATTATCGTTATAAAGTTAGTTGTACAATGATTCATAATTATTATCTAAATCGCATGTGATCCCCGTTTTGTAGAAAGAAGAGCCGCTCGCGCTCGCGAAGCAAAAGATCCAAGTCCCGCACGCGGAAGTCCAGATCCAAATCGAAAACCCGATCCTCCAAATCAAAATACTCCGAGAAGTCGAGGGACAAGGAGAAGGAGCATCGTAGCAAAGATAAGTCTGAGAGCAACGGCAAAAAGAGCAGTAGTAGTAAAGAAGATCGAGATAAGAGCGACGACACACGCAGTGAGCGTAGCGAGCGCAGTGAGCGCAGTGAAAAGAAATCGAGGGATAAAGAGAAGAAATCAGAAAAGGAGGAGAAACGATCGGAGGAAAAGAGTAGAGCGAGCTCTGAATATAGTGACAAGGACAAAGAAAAGGAGAAGCAGGATTCTGAGAATTAAGGAATAATTTTATTCGGAGTAGTTTTTCTTTTCTTTTTTTTTTTTCCTCTTTTCTTTTTTCTTTTTTTCCTTTTTTTCCTTTTTTTTCCATTGAAATTTAACGACGATCGATGCAAAATGAACTAACACCCAAACAATGCAGTCGATTTTTTCTCATTTCCTTTATTGCGCCCGTTGTCATGTTGACTCTTTTTTTTTCCTTTTTTTTTCACTCTTTTTCCAAGTTATTAATTAGTTAATGGTTGACAACAAAGAACAACGTCGATTCAACGAGTTTGTCAATTCGGTAGAAATTTTCAATTCGAGTGTGTACCTTTCTTACCTACGATTTTCAATCTTGATCTGAACTTTATCCGATTATATATATTTAATATTTGTCAAAATATTTAATCGTAATAAGGATGCATGTTCTCTTATGTTATTTCGTAGACCTATCAAGATTAAAATGTACACGAACGACATTTATAAGCCAGGAAGCCTTTGGAAGTCAACGCGCTTTCATTGATCTCAAATAAGACTCTCAATACATTAACTTTATTATATATTAAAAATACTACATTCGATATGTGAATCAAAACTAAATGTTTTTTAGTACACGAAAAGTACATGGCTATATACACCTGGATACCTTTTTATAAAACAGCGTTAACTTTAACTTCGATTATGACATAAATGAGCAAAAATTATACAATTTTCGGTGAATTATCGAATCATAATTGCAAAGGAAATTTCTACCAGTGTCCTTTCGTTTGCTTTACTTTTAGGGCTCACATTCCTCGCGTGTACCCTAATTCTGACTACGTCTAAGAATTGTATCAACGTTAACTCATAATAAAAAAAATCAAAATAAAAAGGAAACAAAACAAAAAAAAAAGATAAAAGCAAAGTAGCCGATAACGTTAGATTCGTGATTCGTTTCAAAAGAATGAAAAATGTGTCTGTCTATACATGCATGTACATGTATGAGAGAATTATGTATTATGATTCATATGTCGGAGCAAAAGGCAATAGTATACACTACGTTCTCTTAGTCATGAGGACCCGGAAAGGTTTGGGGCTGGCGGTGACGCCGTCGGTGTACTCGTTGCGTGGCGGCTCCTCGCCCGGGACGGGTGCGAATGTGAAATTCTGCAGCAAAGCGGCCATTATCATGAACATATTGCTTTTGGCCAACACCTCGCCCAAGCAACGATGTTTACCTGCGATCGTTTGTTTAATAAATAAATTTAATAAGAAAAAGAAAGAAAGAAAGAATGAAAGAAAGGAAGGAATAAAGAAAGAAAGAAAAGAATAAAAAGAAAAAAAAAGAGCAAGGAAGAAAAGAACAGAAAGAATATTAATTCAATGATAAATAGTAATTGAAATTGTACAAATAATAAAATTAAAATTATCTTGGATCATGAACAATGTCGTGTTATTATCTTATTAAAGCTTCAAAACCATAAGTATAGAATCTCTAAGCAGCCGCTCCTCCTTTTTTAATTGTCATTATTATTACTACTATTATTATTATTATTACTTGGTAGTGTAGAGTGAAATTTCGATCTAAGACATGTGTTAATTATTCTTATTTTTTTTTTTTTTTTTTTTTTTTTTTTTTGAATGGAGTTTTCCTTATAAAATAAATTTTCATTGGATAAATATAAATAGGAGGTAAATAAAGAGGCAGAGAAAGAGAAAGTTAAATTATTTCTTTTATGCTCGGTTGATTATTTAAAAATAAAACGTATCGTCCGTCGATGTAAACCGACTTTTCTGTTATTTGACGAAAAACAATTACCGAGTTAGTGGCATTGAGTGCGAATCGTATGCCGCGAAGAGCAATGTGTCTGTAAATCTGTAATGCTTGCGTTAAAAAATATCTTTAATTGGAAAAATTGAAAAATCGTTAATCGTACCGTAACTTTTCCAAAACGAGTTCTCCTCATATTAACATTTAAACGTTATCTTACGTGCGGCGATAATTGCACGTACCAAAACTAAAGGGAAGGTACTGCTCGGACATGACTATTTTTCCGGATTCGTCGATGAACCTTTCAGGTCGAAACTCCTCGGGATCGCCCCAGAACTCACCCATTAGGATCCTATTGAAATTCACAACTAACATACTGTCCTGCGGGCAACAAAGCGAATGGCAATTTTTAATATAATATTTATCTTAATCTGGGCGATCGAAGTAAATTTATGATAAAAATTCACAACGTAAGAGTATTAAAGATAATGTTAATGGTACACAAATATAAAGTTACATTACTATTCTTATCATTGATAGCGACTTATTTCTTAAAATGCAAAATTATTATTAAAAAACGACTTTTCAATTCGCTTTCTTTCGCGTTCATTCGTCAAATCTGTGATTCTTTTAAATCACGGTCCTGTAGACTTCTTCAAATATTTTTACCGCGAGCTTAATAAGCATATGAATTAATTATTACAATGCAGTAATTGCGATTAAAAATTATTTTACTATACGGAAATTTTTAAATCCAATCGATATTATATCTTACAATATAACGGGCATAAAATTTCGGAATGAAAAATATTGTTAAAGTATTATTGAAAAGTGTTTATACCTTGGGTATTTTGTATCCCAAAATGCGAGTATTTTTGAGGGCGCGATGTGGAATATTCATAGTTCGTCCCATAAACATTCTTATTGATTCAAGAACTACGGCGTTAATGTAGGTCAATCTGTAAGGAGAATTAGATTATTAAAAAATCCTTACTGCTTTATATCGCTAAGATTGCAAAGACATTTTATTAAGAGTAGCACATTTTAATAATATAGATTTTGAATTTGTTTAAAAATTTTTGAGTCAGACAATTAGAGCCTTGCAGATAAGACTAAAGTGTAATAATACATCTACCGTTAATCTATAATATCACGTGAAATTTATATAAAAAAGAAATGTACGTGAGAGGACAGGGAAACTACGTTTTTGCAATTTTCATTACTCTTCGTCGAATCATATTATTTTATCGATCTCCATATATATATATATATATATATATATATATATATATATATATATATATATACATCTCGATATATACGTGAAACGTGGAAAATTCATCTTAATATTACGTTGGGTTTGCGTATTCGTTGCTCGATACTTTAGATTTTAAATTATTCGAAAATTATTCCTACAGAAGAGAGTCATTTCAATTTTTGTTGCAAGATAAGCATTAAGTTTCGGTGAAAACTTGATCGACCAACAAGAAATTCAAGTGACTCTTTACTGTAATCGACGAGGACATTCATCGTAAAGAGGGTGGAAAAATCCAAGTAAAAACGCGCTGCTCAAAGTCTCAAATAATCACAACTAGTCGCTGCATTGAATTTGTCGACGTATCGTTTGTTTACAAATAACGCCTACCTAGGCCGATCTTTCAAGGACGGCAATCTCTCACGGCCAATAATCGAGTCGATTTCCTGCTGGGCCTTCTTCTGCACTTCCGGATTCAGCACGAGAAAGAGAAAGCCGAAGCACAGAGCTTTCGAGGATGTCTCGGAACCGGCCATGAATAGGTCTACGCAGATTGCCAGCAATTGTCCCTCTGTATGTATCAATCAGCAAGTGCATCAATCCTTTATCTCTGTCGTTTGCTCCACCCCACTCGCACTACAATTACACGCTTTGCTACTGTTGTTTTCGATTTTTGGAATCGCGTTTCCCACTAATCGCATTCACTCGAGCAAATTGAGGATGAATATTAAATTATTTACTTGTTCATTGCCAGCGAGACATTTACAGAAGCAGCGTCTGCGTTCGCAACGTGAAAGGAAAATAAAATTTCAAAATCAAATATTTATCATCGTAACGTATTGACTTCTCCTACGCCGAACCACGCTATCTTTTGCTTTTATTTATTTTTGTTGTTTGTTTGTTAGTTTTTCTCCTTTTTTTTGTTACGAATTGAAACGAATAAAAAAATTTTTTTCGGTATTTATTTCATAGAATGGTCGAGGTGATTGGCGTTAAGATCGCACGAGCTTGACTCGATTGGCTAGAGTCAGTTAATTATAAACGAGTCTGTTTAGAAAAAAGTGTAATAATATTAATAATAAATCTTGAATTATAGCAATATCCTACTAATTGTCATTCGTGTTTTGACAGTTTGCTATTACAAGTTATAATTTTATACTCGATTACGTATTCCGTATTTGTGCAATTATCATTTTAATATATTCGAATCTATAGTTTTTAAAATATAATTTATAAAAATCATTTTAGTACATTACCTGAAAAAGTATCATCGGGGATTTTCGATTGCAATGTTTGCAGATAAATATCCATAAGATCTTTCGGAGAATTGGGATCGAACGTTTTTTTATGATTGTCCAACTCGTCCTGCATAATTGTAATATTTTATATATGAATTGCAATTTATGTGAGAATTTCATTATAATCGATAGAATATGAAAATTCAACGTTTTAGAGTGAGAGATTGAGAGAGAGAGAGAGAGAGAGAGAGAGAGAGAGAGAGAGAGTGAGTGAGAGAGAGACGAGTCCAGATAAAAATGCGAAGCAGCATAACGCACGTTAACGAGGGTAGACAAAAATGAATGTCTTTGAATTGTAATTGATATACGTACTTTTAAAAATTTCCAGAGCTGACGATGCGTTTCCATGAATTTTTTATATCCGGACATTTCGGGTGCGACATACTTTAAAAAGAAGTGATTAAATAGCCATCCGATCATATCCACACCGCGAAGGAGCTTCGTGAAGATTTTTTGCAGATAAATAAGATCTTTGTCATTGATGTTGTACCTAACGATACCTCAATCGTTATACACAATACGCCCAAATAAACACCCGTGGCCCCTTAAAAACAATTACTTCGTTCTCTCCTAAAACACACACCTTAGCCAATAAAGTCTCTTTCACAATTTATCAATTAATTGATCGACAAACAATGACTATTACAATGGTGCTGTATCTCGATCAATAATATGTAATCTCTTTCGATAATAAGCAATCGAATTTCAAGACGAAATTAATTGAAATGACCGATCATTCTCATTTACAATCAATAAAAATGGAGAGCTCGGGTAATCACCTTCGCAGAGCCACTCTTACACTATCAACACCAGCCTTCTTTAATCATCAACATCACCTCTTCCCCGCCATCATACACCAAAGCGTATTAAGCACCGGCACTCCGAAGAAGTCCTCCATCTCGATAACGACGCCCAACCTCTCGGTGCTCCTCGTCCCGACATTCGCATTAATGTCCTCCCGGCTGATCTTGACGCAGCGCACCACGTTGCTGTTGGCCTCCGGGCGCACATCCTCGACGCCCTCGCCGTTGAGCAGTCGCTCATAGTACTTGACGAACTGCGCAGCCTCGAACTCGATTTGCACGGCCATGTCCGTGCGCCCGAAGCCCAGGTCGCGCAGGTGTCGCAGGATGAACCGCCGCTGCTCGACCCAGAGCTGGCCGTCCACCACTAGGAGACCTGAGCCGGATTTTATCGTTCGCTTTATTGCAATCGGGTGATTTTTGTTCTTGTCGCATATATATATATATATATATATATATATATATATATATATAAGTGAATTTTCAATAGTTTGAATAATTTCAATAATAATTATTATAAGTTAAAGTTTATTGATCTAACTAAACATGTTTTATAAATGTAAATTTTTAATGCACAACGTGTTTATGTAAAACTATAATGTAACGAGTTTCATTTTAATTTAATACACATAAACAGTCAGGTTATATAAAATTATCATAGAACAACTTTCGTTTTTGTTTTTATTTTATTTTATTTCATATTTCTTTTAATTAACGAGCGCTAAGTATTTAATTTGAATTTTTCTATTTCTATATTTACATCGTTCATTTTGTATTTAAGTTAAAATCCAATAAACTCTAAGGATAAAACGAGAATTAATATTTTCGTGTATATTCAAGATAATTTAATCATCGAATAAGAAAAGAATTGAACAAACAACGAGCTTGAACAATATTTCTCCAATCAATTTTGAAATATTTAAAGCAGATTATATCCTCGCTACTATTCTTCCTTTCTATTTATATTTAAGTTATTTATACTTTTATAATTGATAATATTATTGATTAATTATGTCTATTAAAAATTAATTATAACTATTACAATGCAAAAAACATTCAAAATAGTAATTATGAGAGTTAATCATGAGATTCATTTTTGAGAATTGAAAATTTTTTATATCCTTTTAAAAGAAATTTTATGAATTTTATTTGTTACTATTTGCCATAAGATTATAGAATCTAGATTACCTTTCTCTGCATTATATATTTATTTCAATTAATACATTCTGCTTGCGCTTATAAATTGAAGCGGGATAAACTTTTCAATTTTTATAATATCAATAAACGATAATAAGATGTATATTATATATAATGTAATGTATAAGAAAATCAGATAATCTAATAAAGTTCATTATTAACAAACATTTCATTCCATAAATCCACAATTTCATTATTCTTCGTATAAAAGCATCGGCAAGCGTAGAATAAATACTAAGCGAAATCTGAGCTAAAAAAAACTATAAAAAAAAAACAACAAATTTTTACTTTAGTAGTAAAATATTGAAAATATACATTATACATACTTTGATGCATAATATATGGATATTAATCTAAGAATTATTAAAAAAATTTTGATAGTGAAATTATAATATACAAGAACCTGTAATTTTTACCGAAACATTATTTTCCATAAAATAATCAATATTCAATAGTATTGAAAATTGAGATAAAGCGTGGCCCTTCGATTATTAATTAAATCTCGTAAAATATCCAAGGGCTTAATTAAGCCTAAATTAGTAATATTTATTAACTTTTTGTTTTATTAAACATGTAATTGGATGAAATTAAATTAAATTGAAGTAATTGGATGAAAAATTAAACATTGTCGACGAGTCAAAGTGAACGTATAATCAATAGTTTAAGAAATTGATTACGTGAATACAAAAAGCTTTTGCGAAGCGCCAACATTAGCAAAATGTAAGCCACGAAATTATTTATTCCCAAATAGATGTAAATGTCACCTTGTCTCTTTCCAAAAGTTCTGCAATCATACACTGGCCCAATTGGTCTACCATCACAATGCTCGTTCATAATCATTGCCTTCATGCTCTCGAAGTCATTAAGGATGACGACACGATCATTGCCAATCTTCAGCCCAATGATCGAGCCGTATTTCTTGCCGAGGATGTTGCAAGCCTCCGAAAAGTAGCCCGTTTCCTTCCGTAACCTCGCTATTTCCAGGGCGCAACCAAGTACCGGCAGCCACTTGGGACCTAATGAGTTTATTATAATACACATATATCTTGAATATCTTCAATTCCTTTTAAAAACTAACATATTATCATCATCATCATTATTATTATTTCTGTTTTTGCTACTATTCTCCTAATTGACGCACTGAATGAGATAGAGATAGAAAGAGAGTAAGAGTAACTATGAGACTATTACTTATTAATCATTTAATACAATAAAGATATAAATAAATGTTGTGTTATTACACAACGTACAAATACCCGACGATTCCATACCAATTTGCCATGATAATATGAAAATTACAATTTTTTCTCACATACAATAAAAAAATTTAACAACACTTATTGAATCATATCGAATTAAGAAATGTAGAGTCATCGGTATATTTACCAGGTGGATATCCTTTTGGTTTACGTGTTTCCAAATAATAAAGCAAAAGAAGTACTAGAAAGACCATAATTATTGTCGGTGCGATACTGAAAAGAAACACAAAAATTTTTAGTTCGCCATAAACTTCCATGAGTTTGCTATTAATTATTTATTGAACGATTAACTGTGTTATATTTTTAAAGATAAGAATCGTGATAATAATTATTCAATTTCACTGATTGCCTAATAATATTAATAATTTCCTTAATTTATCTAACATATAATACATTCTCACGATGTAAAAAGAATTCTAATGAAATGGAATTATAATAATAATAAATTAAAATTGTAACTAAACATTATTTTAATTAAACATTACACTTGTTTATCGTCAATTCGCTTAAGAAAGTACAATTTACAAAATTTACAAAATTTACAAAATTTCTAGCAATAATTAAATAATAATAGACAAAATTGATTCTACGGACAACCAATAAGTACGATTTCAAATGCCTATTTCTAAAAATTATTATTAAGCGAACGTTAAAATGGTTTCAAACATAAAGCGTTCTGTCACAATCTTATGTCCAACAAATAATAGTAATTAATCTACCTCTATGTTTATTAAAATTCATAATTTTATATAAGCAGATATCTCACTAATTTATGAGCAATGGTTACATTCACTTAGCAAAGTAACTTACTTAAAGACTTGAACTAGTGAAAATATTGTACAGATAATTATGGACGATGAGCAAGTAAATCCTTTTCATGAAAAAAAAAAAAAAATATTAATGTAGCAAATTTTGTATTTTTTTTTTTTTTTTACAAGATTCACTAGTCTTGTTAGAGATCAAGTGCCAATGAAATGGAAAAGTTGCATGATTGGATCTGTTCACTTTTCTCAAATTAAGATGTATTATATTGGAGAAAACGTTAAAAAGTTGGAGTTATAATAAACTTTAAACTACGAGGTACAAAATCGAATGAACTTGAAATTATATTATATAAATCATTCGATGAAATAAGGAATTATAGCATTAGAAATAAAAGTCTATAATTCGAAATAGCCGTAACCACAATGTAACGTCCATATGAATATAGAAATAAAAATATATAATTAATCCAAAGAGAATAATAGATGAAAACATAATAGAAACCGAGCGATGTCGACATTTATCTATTAGACGTTATCTTTAATCAAAGTCGGCTGTAATTTAATATTACAGAAACACTAGATACAATAAAGTTATTCAAAATAAAATGTTAGCCAAGCGTTGTGTAATTCAACGAGGAGAAGATCACTAGTTTACATTAACAAATGTGCAAATTTTTTTAATTGAATTAGCTTACGCAGTCCTAACTTACCAATGCAATTTACTTTAGAAAAATCTCTAATATTCGTTACTGCATGGGCATTTTATCGATTAAAATTCATTGACGATATAATTTCAAAGGACTTTTTGACGCTAAATTAATAGTCAAGGATGCAATTATAATCGTAAAACATTAAAAGTGCCAAATTATTTAAATAATCTTGTTAAAAAAAAAAAAAAAAAAAAATATCTTAAGAATATAATAATGAATATTAACATTTAGTTGATTTTCTATGGTGTATATAAGTGGTGTAACCATGGTGTATAAATTTACTCACAAGCCATATCAAGATTATAGCAGCCAAGACCGCTTTCTTATATGGATTTACGAAAAATCTTCTAGTGAAATTCACATTCCGCTAATTTCTCGCGCATTTGAATATCCACTTTTGTTGCCGTTTTAAAGCCAAATAAAAGTGACAGTGCATAGCGCAACTTCAATAACCCATGCTAATTATTCGTCTAAATGAATTAAAGGAATATCCGCTTGAATGCATGCGGCTTCATTATCAGAGAGTCGCTTACAAATTTATTTTAAATATAATTTCTTCATAGATTTTAACTGGATAGATAAATATTGTGATAAAGAAGAAGTGTGGGTGCAACGAAACGCTCAAAGGTAATGCAAAAGGTCAAGTAGCCTGGGATTAGCGCGAAGCTGCAGTTACGAAGTTTCTTTGACCGTGAAGAGTCCGCAAGATCCAGCGGAAATGAAGGAAGCGAAGAAAGTGAAATTGAGGAGAAAGTTGTACCAGTTTACGATCGCGTTACGCAACGGCTGGAAACGCGCGATTTGCACATTACGAGGACCTGAAATTTCCCAACGAATAATCCAATGCACTTCCTTCATCATTCATAGTCTTAGCCTATTAACTTATCCAAATTATGCGGAAGTTGTTGTCTTTTTTCATCGGGAAATAATGCACGAGGTACTTCAGAGACTGCACTTTTAACGTTGTTGTGTAAATACTGTAAAAGCCATTGGCTATCTTTTATTAAACGGGCTTCTATTGGCACGCAACACTTATTTAGCGATAATCATCGAACCTTTCAATTAAAATTTGTATACGCTTCTAATAAACTCTTTCATTTAGCGCACGCACACGCGCACGCACGCACACACGCACACATTTGTTTCAGATAAAAGCAGTTTTGAAGTATATTTACAGCAGGTTTAATTTGCGGATAAATTGTATTTTTTTCTACAATAAGCCGGCAATGGTTTAATTAATAGTATATCGTAGTTTAATTTATAGATTTATTTAGTTTAATCTAGAGTTTAATTTATAATATTAATAATTTGCCATTGCTACGTATTATTTAATATTGAAATAGCGTGAAAAAATATTTCTATGAAAATTTCTTTTAGGTAGAAAAAGTAAATGATCATAGATTATAAAAAACATTACTTTTATGCATAAATCTTTGTAACTCTACGTTAACATCATTATCTTAAAATAGATATTTACTTTGTCATGTGGATAATTATATTTAAAACGAATAAAACTATTGTTAATATTTTTATTATGAAATGTCAGACTATTTTTTACTTGAAGATCCTCGTTGCAAATCCAACTCTTTTAACGTATAATAATTAACCTGAACAGAATTATGAGACGAAGTTATGTATACATTAGATATAAAATATACCAACAATTTTCATTAAATTTACATTCTTTTAAATTAAAAATATAAATTTATAGCTCTTGACAAGACAAAAATTATTTATTAATTGTATACTTATGTCGTCATACTGATAGAATCTGTGCCGATCAAAGTCGTTTAATGAAACAATCGCATTTCATTCCTTAGAAAATATTACGTAACGTCATTAAACTGTTAACAATGTTTAAAAAAACATTTGATTAGAAATAATTCATTAGTCTAAGAAAAACTTGCATAATATTTGAAAATATAAACACACGATTGCCACTTTCGTTTCGACTAAATCGACGGTCAATGCACTAATAGAGTAAGAGCTTTTACGACAATTAAGACAAACCCAATAACCTGTTCTGCATGCTTTTTCTTATTTATTTTATATAAACAATGCAATTTATAAACTTTTTTCAAAATGAGTATTTTAAAATACCGTCAAGAATACTAGATCGATTAAAAACAAATATGGCAATCAACAACCAAACTTGAACTTTAAATCTAATTAATCGTAACTAATTTAATTGCAGAAATGACGAGTGAGAAACAACGGATTTTGCATTGTTGAAATATTTTAATAAATGTAAATATTAAAAATTAAACAACAACTTTATTGTAAATAATCTCAAGACTTTTTTTTCTAACTAAAATATATATTACAAATTTTATAATAAATGATTGTTAAGGTATTGTCCTTTAAAAACTTTATATCCACTTAATCGAGTTTCAATTTTTTTTCAATGAATAATTAATGTATAATTTGAAGATTGTAGACTAACGAAAATTCTTTCTACGAGAAATGCCATTGTATTTTTTTCTAATAAATTAACGTGCGAAATCTTAAAAGTTATTTTAATCAACGGATGCTTTGTACGAAAAAAGGGAAATATTTATTCAGAGAAAAGCTAAAATGAAATTGTACTTCATATGATTTACGTATCAGTCCATTATACGTTTATATAATAATGTTAAGTAATATTGAGCATATTTTTTTTAAAAACATTTTCGTATTGATAATTTTTATATTTTGCGTTCTAGACAATAGCACGATGTTCTATAATAGTACAAGTTTGAAAAATGTTTTTTGAAAATTTACTAATACACAACATTATAATATAATAATTCATTAAGCAAATAAATATATCTCGATTTAGCTCATATTTAATTACATTTTAAATTTTAATTTTGATAATTAATTATAAGCTACAAACTTAATTCTTATATTTATTCTTTATACTTAATTCTTATTTATCTTTATTGTACATCAGTGACGAGCGTTGTAACGTCTGCTTTTATAAGTTATTATGTATTTTCCCGTTAATATTATTCAATTACTGTTTATTAAGATATGATATGGCCATTGAAAATATTATTATTTCACAAACATCGTACATTATGTATTAGTAAATTGTAAAAAATATTTTGATTGCTATCTCGACTAAAAATCTCCTAATGTAATTTAAAAGAGTACCATTGGTTAAAAGTGATTACATGTTGCATTTTATAAAAAAAAGAAAAAAAAAAAAACCCTGTATAAATAATGTAAATCATGATTACTATTTAATACATTAGATGATTATTCATTAAATTAGTGTTTTTATTGTTTTTGCAACTATATACTATATTTTAAAATAAATAACGAAATTGCTCCGAGTATGCATTATTATTACATTGATATACAAGATTGCATATTACGCCTCGCAGTTTTAACTGATAGCATGATTTGATTTTAATTCTCATACTTATTCATTGGATCTTCTATTGATTAGTGAAAAAGTATTATTAGCCCTATAAAAAAAAGTACATTTCGTGAAAATTCGTTTATTAAAAAGCCACGATTTAATTTCGATTGCACTATCGTAATGAATTTTCTCTCGGAATTTACGCGGCCAGCGGAGAATGTCGAAAGAAAGTTCCCTCTCAATTCCCTTAAATAACAACACAGTGCTCATCCTGCTTATTGCCTTAGGCGTTTCCTGACAGTCGCTATATCGCTTTATTTCTTTCTTTCTTTTTAAACTAATTACCCACTTTCCTCGAACATTTTGCCGAAGTGCAAGCGCGACACTCAAACTGTCCTCCAAGTTGCCGAGTTCTTACCTTTTATATGCCCCCCACCCCCCCACTCCCCTCTTACCACCACTAAGTGATCACGTAGCAGCTGCACCGCCGTCTATATTCACTGATGAAAGTTGCATTAAGTCGCGACTCTTCAGTGCGAAGTCGCTGTGCACTTCTGTTTCCTTTACTATTCGAAGTGAGAGCTCAGGGCGCAGCATCCGTAATTGCGTCTTAGAAATTAGGTCAAAATTTCTTGCCACTTGAATAATTGGAAAAATTTAAATGCTGCATATATGGCCCACAGATAATTATAATTCCATAACTACGTTATGTCTATGTATTTACTTACATTACTTACCCGCGTCCAATTCAAAATTAACTTTATGATTTGCATCGAGTTGGTTTAGTATTCTCACCATATGATAAAACAGTGTTAATGACATTAACTTTGAGCCATTTAATGATATTTTATACGAATGAAATTTCACCGCTTTCCACCGATAAAGAATTAAAAAGCTTTTCCGATAATTTCATTTTAACTTCCTTTGCTTAATTTAAAACATCATTGGGATTTCTTAGTTATACTCGCGCTATTAACTGTTATAATATTTAGTTATCTGCTATTCAAATATGTTGATAGTTCTACAAAACATACGAATAATTTGAAAATTCATTAGTATTCTAAAAATAAGCTCCTATTGCAATGTAATTAAAATTTATCTGCTTTCGTAATTATTAAAATATTCGTCTATAGATGAAGTTCTTATCTATATTATTGATATAAAGTCTAAATCTTAATAATAACAGAACTAGATAGTCTGAATTAAATGTGAAACTTTAATTTTATTAAATTATATTTTATTGAAATTCCTATATGGAAGATTTGTCGTGCTGTACAATTTATTTCTAGAGATGTATTATCGCTTATGGATTTATGGATTTATCTATTATTGATTCATGAATTATTTCAATTATCATGCATTATTATAATAATATTTGTATTTAATATATCTAGACAAGAGAATAATTTATGGATTATGATAAAAATTTGAATTTTTTGTAATTGTAATATAAAATGGTATATGCTGCTTTAATTTAATCACATAATTTTCCACTATTGATGATTGAAATGACTAATATTACTATTTATATTTCCATATTTTATTATGTGTTCAATCATTTTTTATTTTGTAAAATTTTAAATGTACACACACACATATATATATATATATATATATATATATATATATAAATTTTTTTTATTTTTAAACTAACAACTAAATTTCCGTGATTTTCTTTGATAAATCGATTCAATAATTTTTATAACGATTTTATGTCATTAATAATTTAAGATTATTTAGATAACAATGGAAATGAAGTAAAATTAAACAAAATGCTTAATGTAACAATTAATAATTATTTATTTCTAATGTAATTCGCCAGTTTACCTACACTGCAGTTCACCATTAATGCAATTTTGGCATTTAATTGAAATTGATTATTTATCAATACGTTGATCGTCTTCTCAAAATTTTAAAAACTTCGCAATATAGTATAATTCACTATTGCAACATTTATTATCAATCATTTTTAAAATGTTTTCCTGCGTATTTATTTTACATCGTTTTTGTAAAATTTTATGATAACTCTTTATAATTCTCCAAATTGAAATAATATATTTTTAATTTCGCATTATTTTTAAATACCCAATTTTTTTTATATAGAAAATATTAAGAAGCAATCTTAATTAATATATATGAAAGTTCATTTTGGCTAAGCGATAGTCGTTTTATACGCAAAGGTATTGTTGTTCATGAAAAAAATTATACTTTTAGACTAAATAAATCTTATATACTTATACTAATATCTTGATGCAATGAAATTTCTATTTTATACATAAATTTTGTTAATAATACTTATTTCAATATCTATATTAACATATTCAATACATATGAAATTGTTTTATTTTAATTTATTTTATTCGTTATTTAATTATATAGAATTATGTAAACATTATGATTTATTTATATTACTTTTGACAATCTGACGAAACTTTTACGATATCTATGATAATTTGTTTACTACTAACTCATATCATGTAAATATTTCCTTTTCAAATAATAAAACAGGATAATATTAATTTTTTTTTTTTCCAAGTCTATATTATACAGTGTAGATATAAATATTTGTATTAATTAAATAAATTGCAATTAAACGTAATTCAACAATTATTTAAATAGTAACCAACTATGCTTAAACAATATGCTAATTAATAATGTCAATGTATTTCTTTATTGTAATATGGTAATGAAATCCATTGTATATTTGATATTGTTTGATTATTTCTTAGTCCTTTTTCCTCTCGAGAATTAAATATTTATTAAATATTTTATATATGTTGTAATATTATTATCAGTATTATTATTATTTCTTACAAACATATCACGCATTACTAAAGATTAGTGCGCATTAATAATACATATTAATAAAATTATTCTCTTAAAAATTCTTAATATTTATAAATATATGTAAATGTATATAACATGTATAAGGTAATAGTTAATAAAATATTATCTATATATAGACAGAATAAGATTGTTAAAAGAATTTTATTAATACATAATATTTATAAAGGATTAAATTAATTTTATTGTGCATTAAAAATAGTTATCTTCAATTTTACAATTACTGTCGGTCTTTCCGTTTTTAACTTATTGAAATTGACAGATTAAGATAAAAAAATTTAAATTACAATTGAATTTTTGTGCCTATATTGTAAGTTTTCTACGATAATATCAAGTTGCATATATTAATATTTACTGAACGTTTTGTCTGTCTTATGTAATTAAGTTACAAATTACAGATTCAATTGTTTTATCTTACGACAATTGTTATCACCATGAAGTAATAATTATAACAAACCATTGATTTTTCGATTAGTAAAAGCGAGCAGAAAAGAGACGAGCAAAGATTCCTTGAAATTTTAATAGCTTTAAAAATTTTATATTGACCATGACTATATGTAATTGTACATATTTTTTAGTATATTTACTTCAAGGTCAAGAGCTTGTATCTGGAAATTGAAATGAATTTTCTTAAGCAGATATACTAATCAAATATTGAAAATAAATTAAGGCTTACTGCATATACCTGAGGTTTCCTTTCCTCCCTCTCTCTCTCTCTCTCTCTCTCTCTCTCTCGCTATCTGTTTCTATCACTCGGTCGCTCACTCACTTTCATTGCCTTTCTTTTACGCATATTTATATATTCATTACTTTAGTGATTAATAACTAGAATTAGATTTTTTATTTTTCAGCAGGCAAATGAGTTTTTAATCTGTGAAGCAAGTATTTGAAACAACAGATATTAATGTATTGTAAAGACTGTGTACTTTAAGCATCATCTCAGGTTTTAATATATTTATCATATTATTTTACCACTTTAAAAAGTGATTTTTTTCGTCCTCTTCCTCTGTTTATATTCTATGATTCAATGGAATAAACAAAAAACCTTAAGTTTTCACTAATTATCTTTTGTCTCAAATAGATTGTCTCAAAGTATTACAAATTATTAAAATCTTTTACTTAGTTAAGCTAACAAATAAATAAATGTGTTAATATTATAAACTTCTATATATATATATATATATATATATATATATATATATATATAAATTAGTTTATAGCTTATTTAAAGAGGATGATTTATCTATTTACTAATTATCATATTTAACATGCAATTTAGAAAAAGGAATCAATAATGAAAATAAAATTTATGTAATAGATTACGCAAATACTATGTAAAGCATCTTCCTTACGAATATTTGGTAAACAATAAGTTCAAATTTTTTTACTTGAAAACAGACACTGAATATAGAATATCTCTATATGTCTCTTTCTTTCCCGTTTTGTGCGACTTTTTTTTATAAATATTGAGTTATCAATAAATATACAAATTCTAATCAGATAAGGTGATTTTTAATCTACAACGGAAGCGCTCGATAACTAAAATATTTACGTATTATAAATATTGTATATTACAAGCTATAAGTTATGCTTTATCACATTAAATTACTATTTATTTCAGTAGTTCGAATATTTTCTTTGCAACTTCGATGATCTAAGAATAATCACGGTATTGTTATCATCATCAATTTGTTGATTTAAATTGAGTTGAGTCAACGAAGGAATTTTCTGTATGGAGTAAATATTTCACTTAAAATTTTTTATTGCGACGAATTTTTGAAGTCAGAATCCCTTTTCTCAGAATTATTTTTTATAATCATAGATAAAAAATATTGATATTCTAATACATTACGCATAAGTTATAATTTATACATATCATTATACTCATTTATTATTTAATAAAACAGAATTTATTTACGTAAATTATTGAAAAACCATTTAAACAAATAATTTATAGATGTTTCTAATATATTCATAAGATATCTAATCATTTTCAAGTCATTTCACAATATTATTATGAAAAATGATTTGGTTGTTTATATTAAGGGAAACTTATTGATTTAAAATTGATTTTGAAATTTGTTTATATATTATTACTATAAAGTTATAATGATAGGAAGAAAAACTAGCAAGTTGACTTAATTTATAATACTCATATACTATATACTTATATACGAATTATATAGTTTATATTAAATTATATTCTATACATTCTATAAAAATATTTTATTATTAATATTTTTAATAGTCAACATATCGATTCTTAACATTTTCAATATTCAATAGTACGTTATTTTAATAATATATGCCTATTATCACTATATATCACTATTTTTTATACCACAATACATATGCAACTGATATTGCAGTTTTAGTTCTAATTTTTATAAAAAAAACTTTCTGGGAAGTGTTCTTTGAAAGATTAATATATAATAAAATCAATTTGCTTAGGTTTTCTTTTCTAAGCTACAAATTTAAAAAAGACTTATCAAACATGTGATTCATAATGTATACATAAAAAAATCAATAAGTCT